GTCCTGTCCTCCCGTGGTGCTCGTGTGGCCGACGTTGCACATGGGGTGTACTGCACCTTTCCATCTGCAGTGTCTGACACATTCAGCCGGCAGCCGCACGAGCACCATGGGAGCATAGCCGTAGCCAGCTCCTTTTGCGCCTGAGGCAAGAAAAAAAACAAAGTTTTTTTAATTTATTTTTTACTATTTTTTATTTTCATTATTTATTTATTTTTATTTTCGGATTTTTTTTTTAATCTTGGGGGAGGGAGGGGGGCTTCTGGGAAATATTAGGGGTCTAAAAAGCCCCTTGATATTTCCCTTTTAAAATAGAAAAAGAAATTGAGGACACAAAGTCCTCAATCTCTTTTCCTGCAGCCTCTATTCTAAATGAATGGAAAGCAAAGAGGCTTCCCATTCATTCAGAAAATATTTTACTATCAAGCAGTTTCTGAATGGGGAGGAGCCTCTGTACAGAGTGCTTCTCCCCACTGAGAAACTCATGCATGAACAGGAAGTGATGTAAATCACATCCTGTTCATTCATTTATAACTGGGGACACATAGTACTATGTGTCCCCAGTTATTTACAAACACTGGAGTGATCAGCCGATCGCTCCAGTGTTTGTCCTGCACAGAGGATTGGTACATACTAGTGACATGTACCAATACTCTGCCGCTCGTCCACGCACATGGGGGCTCAGCGAGAGGAGAGGACAGTGCGATCTACCAGTCGATCGCGATCGACCTTGTGGGCACCCCTGCCCTATGTGATAGCCAATATACACTGACAGGTCCTCTATATGGAGAATTAAGGGGTCTCTAAGACCCCTGTCACCTGGGGACCCCCAAAGAAGCTGATGAAGCAAAGATCTGCTTCACCAGCTTCTTCTCCGGCTCTCAGCCAGAGAAATTACAGCTAAAAGCGGAAGTGATGTAATATACATTGCTTCCGCCTTCAGAGAGAGAAGGAAGAGAGATCAGCAGTGGGGGCAATGCTGATCTCTCCTCCTTCTCAGTACAGGCAGTCGCTGTGCTGTGTCAGGTAAAATGTGAGAACAGAACGGAACAGAAAATGTGCAACACCTGTTCTCACTCAGCGGCATTCTCTATGCCAATATGATGACATTTCTGCACAAACTAGATCCTAGGTGTGCGCGTTTCTAGCTTCAGGCACAAGGTCATGTACTATAGGTCATGGTCAAGCTAGCATACTGATGTGTATTAGTCTGGCCTCTTCCTATGGGAACAAAGACTCTTATACCCTGGTTATCAGAAGGCAGTCATGTAAAAAAAAGTATGCCCCGTAGAAATTATTGACCTTTTCAACATATTTGAACAGGCAAACATTAGATCTGTATTTAAAGGAGAACTATGAGGTGAGTGCTTTTCACTCACCTCATAGTTCTAGCCGACCTGTGACAATGAGACTGTCACAGGTCGGCTCAGTAGATCGGGAGGTGAGCGAACACATACCGGGTTCGCTCGCCTCTCGATCCTGTCACGGCTCTCTGCCGTGACAGGGGGAGGGGCTGGATTCCCCTCTCCCCGCTCCGATCTGCCAGCGCTGACTGGCGGAATGGACGGGGGAGGGGGCGGGTACAGCTGGCTCTGCCTCTAGATAGGCAGAGCCAGCTGTCACTCACGCAGCTGGGCGGATCCTGTCAGCTAAGTCGTGATCCGCTCCGGCTGCGGCGTCTCAGTATAGTGCGAGCTGTAGCTCGCAGTATAGTGAGCTTAGGGTAACGGGAGGACGCTAGTTTGTGTCCTCCCGTTACCCTAAGGAGAACTGTGGGGAAAAACACTGACCCCATAGTTCTCCTTTAAAAGATAAAGGTGATATACATGAACAAATGACACATGCAGTTCACATGGTGTATCCATTCTCATAATCTAAGTTAATGAAAATTCAGATTGAACACTTGAAAAAAGTGAGCATAACCCTATATTTACCACCACTTCAAATCCATGAAATTAGAATAAGGTGCTGCAGATTAGCCAATTTGCCAATAGAACCTCCTTAGAGAATATGCAGGTGGAACTTGTTTTATTTAAACTTCAGATATGTAGAGTCTGGTGTTGTGCTTGTTGTGGACATGCGTCATCATTCCAAGGTCAAAAGCGTATGTTGTGGATGCCTAGGAGTCTGGCAAAATATTTAAAATTATTTAGCAATCTTCTATAAGTAGATTATTTCAAGCAACTGCTAATTTGTCCAGGACTGGCTGGCTCAGCAAACTCAGGCCAATAGCTGACAATTTCTTGCTAAAAGAAGTCTCCAAGAACCCCAAAACTGCATTGTGGACTCTGCAGTTTACTGTTGCAACAGTTGGTGTCAAAGTGCAGTTCAATGGATTGATCTACAATCAGAAAGATATTGGACCGATGTAATCTACAAGGGAAGTGTGCCATGAAAAATCATATGCTGTTCATAAAGAACAGTCAAGCAATACTAGTTTGCCTTTTGGAACAATGTGCTGTGGACCGAGGAATCAAAGATAGAGTTGTTTTAGAGATAGAGTTATTTTGCTACAATAACAGTAGAAAAGTAAACCAAGTTCAGGAGAGTCTTATGCAAGCTGTGCAGCATGGTAGTACAAATGTTATACTTTGGGGTTGCTTTGCTACTTCAGGGTCTGAGAAGCTTGCAGTCATTGACCCATCTATTTATTCTGCCTCATATCAAAGTGGGGCCAAACTGAGAATGTGAGGCTATCTGTATGAAAGTTAAAGCTAAAACCCAAAATGGATCTTTTAACACTTTAATGATGCAATAATGATGCAATTTACACTAGCAAATCCACCAAGAAATGGAGTTATTAATTGGTTATGCAAGCAAGGAAACCCACAAACATCTTGCAAAAGAAGACATTCTACATAGAAAAATGGTAAAAAAATTGCAGTAAGATGAGGTCAGAATTTAGTTAGCAGTTACGTAAAATGCCTACAAGAGGTCATTTCTGCTAAAGGGGAGCCAATACTAGCTTCTGAGGCCAAGGGTGTTCTCACATTTTCCACAGTACACCCTTACATCTATTGATTCTTTTTGTTGAAAGAGTGAGGCACATTTTACGTGTGATTATACTTGTGATTGTATTTAAGTGCATCACTTTTATCTGTAGGCACTGTTTGAATTTTGAAAATAACAATTTTGGAAAGAAAAATCTATTTTTTTCTCCTGACTTTATGTAGGGCATGGTTGCCTGTTTACC